CACGTCGTGTGCATCGACACGTGGCTAGGGTCTCACTCTTCGTGCCCGTCGTGCCGACAGGTCCTGGAGGTGGCACGGTGCCGGAAGTGCGGCCGCTTGCCGGAATCCACCTGTTCAGCCGCCGCCGCCGGTGCGCAGCCGCCTGATCATCAGCCAAGACAAAATTTTCTATTATAATAAATTGCACGAAATGATTGTGAATTAAAGTTTAATATTAATTTAATAAACCAAGAAAAGTACATAGAGGAATGAGTTAGCTAAAGAATTAGGATTAATTAATTAACGGCACCATTTAATTCCCTTTTTAATAAGAGCCGTCCAAGTACTACAATTAGGACATATATGCCCACTAACAATGGTCTTCCAAAAAGTTGATTAATGTTCACATTAATTAGGAACAAAAACACATTATAATTTCTAGATACTTCTTAGTAGTATTCTGGTAGGATTTAACTGTCATTTTCCAAATAATTTCCCAATAATATTTGGTTGTAATAATTTGTTCGAAGGAAATAATGGTAATACTATATGGCTAAATTACAACCACATATGTTCTATTGTCAAATTACGAAAACCCTCTTATATTTGAACATCTACTCCTTAATATGAATCTTTTTACACATCCACTCTTATGATGAGAAATTCAATATAACATCTAGATTATACGGGATATTCTATAGTTTGTACTCGTTTTCTATAAAATTACAGTTTCTGATGCATACAAGCCAAAAACACATCTTATGATCATCTTGCTTCAAAATGTGGAGTTCGAATGAGATAAAACGGGTACAAAATTGAGATTATTCCACATTAGAAGGTTCATTAAATTTGAAACCACAAGAGTAGATGTGTAAGAAGATTTATAATTGAGGGGTAGTCACAATTATCCAAACATGGGGGGAGTTTTCGTAATTTAACTATACCTCAGGGGTAGTTGTATTTCAATAATTTGTCTTATGAGCCCAAGAGTATTGGGCTGCGCCGCATAAAAGGCCCATTCACTTGAGAAAATCCCCGATTTATTTTCCCATTCCCAAATTCCCCAAAACGCCTCAAATTCAATTCAGCTCAACCTTCGCCCTAATTCCTCCCCAATTGCCGGAATGATTTCCCGTTCGTCGTTCTAGCAATAACTGTAATAACTGAAATGGCTTCGATTTGGACTCTACACGTCGGCGCGACGTCGTTCCTTCCTGTAAGTCAGCAGCCGTGATGTTTCTCTCCACCATTTCATCATGTCTGTGTTTTTTTACTCAACTGTCTTTCTCAATTCGTGCATTTTATGAATATAAGGTTCGAAGTTTGTCGGATGGACATCAATCTCGGTCGGAATTTGGATTGGATAGTAAGTTTAGTAACTGTTCGAACTGGAATCGAAGAGCTGCGTACAGAACATTGGTGGTGAAGGCACTAGATTCTGATGGTGGCGATAGGCCCCTCCAAAACGACGTAGTTGTTGTCAGAAAGCTGGAGGAAGACAATGTGAAGAAACCCCAGCAAAATATAGTTGCTAAATTGCCAGAAACAATTGGTTCTCTTCCCGTGTTTGTCTACTCGGTAAAAAAAATTTACCTGCCTTATATTTTAGATTTATTTTATTTTATTTTTTATTAATTTCAAAAAATTGCTTTTCAAAGTCTTTAATATGCTTTGCCAATTTTCCTGCTTCAGTGTACAAAAGGGCCGTATAATTTTGGTTTTCGGGATTAATATTCTGTATATTAATGTTGCCTGGAAACAAGAAACCATTGACAAAGTTAAAGAAGGTGATGTTGTTAACCAGAAATTCACTCTCTCCGTTTGTCTGGTTTTTGGCAGACTGGAAAACTTTCTGGTACGAATCTCGCTATCGGATTATGCATTGTGGCAACAATGTTAGTTATTGTGGTGAGAGGTTACGCAACAAGGAAGTCAAGCGAAAATCGTGCAGGATCTGTAGCTGATCTTGTTCGCCGCGGACAAGTTCGATCAGATAGAAGAGGCATGTATGATTCTAACTTGCGTTTCTTTAGCTCTAGAATTCTATACTTTATCATCAATCATGAATATGGTCGATGAAAATCATAATTATCTTTTTTTATTAGTCGTTGGAAGTTTTCTTTTTTGAGTTATACAGAGATTTTCAGGTTAATTTTCGAGTTTTCTTTGTAATTCATTTTTCTTCACAGCTCCACGCCTCTCAAATACGAAGACCCGTTTAATAACCCTATGGTGAAGGTTAGCAAAAGCAATTCAACTGTTGAGATGTGTGGGAAAGTGTACCGCTTAGCTCCAGTGGTTCTTACGGACGAGTTACAAACAGTACATCAAAAACGAAGATCGCGTGCATATCAGTGGAAGAGACCTACAATATTTTTAAAGGAAGGAGAATCGGTACCCCCCGATGTAGACCCTGATACTGTAAGATGGATACCCGCAAATCATCCCTTTGCAACAACTTCTAGTGATATTGATGAAGACTTGGCTCAAAACAATGTTCGTCAGAAGCATGGTGTTCCTTTCCGTATCAAGGCCGAACACGAGGCACTGCAGAAAAAACTCGAAGCACTACAAAATGTAATTTTTATATTTTTTTTTTTTTGCAAAACGAAAAAAAAGGGATATGCAATTGACTTGTTTTTGGTTATGAATTTTACAGGACCAAAAGCTGAGCAAATTAGTGATAGATCCTGGTGCAGCAAGAGACTTCGAGAGGCCAATGAAATCAAACAATTTGAAGTCGGAAACTCAAGTTGACCAGAGCACCTCAAATCCTGCTATATCCGATCAAGTTAGTAAACCACCGCCCGAGGAGACGATAAACCCTTGAGTATTCATCTTAGCAGCAAATGCGGATTTTTTCGATGGAGACTGAGAATTACATGTTTATTTCTTTACGTGGGCGATTCTGAAAGTTTTATGTTGTGAAACTTGATCTGATGTAAATAGATTTTGTGTTGGTTCATGGATTCACTTTTTTTTAATGTTTTATCTGCAAATAGTATCTATAAAACATAATGAGAAACACGCTTTTGTGAAGAAATGATCAATGTATAATTTACGGGAAAATTACTGTTTCATCCCTCAAGTTTTCACGGATTACACATTTGGTCACCCGGGTTCATAAAAACACATTTGACCCCTCATGTTTCAAAAACTTAACATTTTTTATCATTTTCGTCAATTTACTGTTAATTCGTCAGTTAGGTCAGTGATAAATACACACTTGATTCTGTTAGTACTAATGGAAACTTCGGGAAAATGACTAAAATTGTTGAATTTTTGAAACATGAGGGACCAGATGTGTAATCCGTGAAAACTTGAGGGATAAAAACGGTAATTTTCCCATTAATTTACATTACTAATAATTCATTACAAAAAAAGCCCATTAAGAAAAGCCCACTAAATATATCTCGATTTATACAGATAATCTTCGTATAATCAAAAAGCCCAGTCAGATCGCGTTTCTTAGGTAACCGGGTCTGGATCTTCCTCAGTTCAATTCCATCGTTACCGAAATTGTTAGCTGTGAAGCAGCAATAGACGTGGGGGTGTTTCTGTCGATTTTTGTCTAAGAAAAGCGACCGGAAAAAGAAATTGAGGCAATGGTGCTTGGCGTGTTGAAAGGGGAGCCGCTGATCACGAAGCTGGCGGCGTTGGCGAAGTACGGCGTGCTTCCGGGGGCGATGATCGCCGCCCTCATCTACTCGCCGCCGGATTACAGTTTGCCCAAAAAATCAGCTGATTCAGGATCCTCGACTTCTTCTTAATAGACGAAAAAGGTTGATTTTCATTGTTCTCATTCTCGATTGTGTTTTTCATATTTTTCAACCATGGCGATTGGTTAGGGTTTTGTCTTTCGTTGCTTTTAAAATATTCTGCCTGTTTTCACGATTTTGGTAAATCGAATTGATTTTAATCTTCATTAATTGCTTCAAATTTATGTATAAATTATAATAGAATTATGAACGAAGAGGATAAAAGCTTGGGGAGTGCCTGGGCTTTTCATTGGATTTAATGATTATAGAATTGGGGAGGATATAAAAGTTAGATTTTATGTCTGAATTTGGAAATATAGTCGACATTTGCAAAATCTGTGCTAATGATTATTCGAAAGGGTTGATGGATGAAGATTTCTATTTGCAAATGATTGATTGACACACTGCTCAGCTGAAATTTAGAAATGACTTTTCTGTATATGAAGATTACGAGTAACTTGTGATTTTTTTGTTCGTGATGATACAGATCTTTCTTTCTGGCTGGGTAAACGTGCATCTTCAGGTTGAGCTCGTGTTTTGTGGATGAAAATGGTATGTAATAATTACAGTGCCGCATTGCGCCTGTGAAACAGTTGTGTAAACATTGAAGCATCTTACCAGTTTCTTGAAGAAATTGCGGTTTTTTTTTATTATTTGTTCCGCACTTCGGTATATTTTGATAAATGCGCATGATTTCTTATTGAGCTATGATTCCCCCCTGATATTCCTGTATTTCCGTTGCTCTAGTTTTCGTTCATTTTATCACCTGGTAATCATCAACATTGCCTTCACTGCATTAACTTCGATATTTTGAGTTTGCTACGATTCTCCTAGCGTTGATCTATCGGTTTTTGGCTATATACTTATCCTCAGTTATTTCAAAATGGCACTATGTTCTCACATACTCGTAGGTGGTGCCTTTGATGCAATTGTGCCGCTATACGAACAGAGTGGCCTTCTCATTGACTATCATACTTTTTTTGTATCGTCTTTATTTTCAAGATTCCTTTGGTATATTTTCAAGATTCTTTTGGTAGTTATCATTCTCTCGTAAAAGGTACGGCCTGGGCACTAACTGGGGGAAACTCTCGAGACTTTCTGAGTGCATCTTATCTCAAAAGTCCGAAATTTAAGCAGAGTTTTCTCCCCAAATTATTTTGATATTGGTTCCTTGTCAATTGAGAAGTGGAGATTCCCTTTCAGATGTCACCATTGTTTCCAGCTTTGATATAACTCTATCTGGCTAACATTTTCGACTTTTTTTTTCATATCTAATTTTCATCTTATTGTGGATATATAAATGAATGAAAGCATTAGCAGTCGAACATTCCCTGGGTATTCGGATTATTCAATTGAAGCTTAAGTGTGACTCTGGTAGTAGTTTTTTTTATTCTTTCTTTTTTTAAAGGAAAATTCGCCCTACAACACACGGTTCGAACCTCTTGACAAACACTATTATAGCAGAGGTTCCGATACTTCTAAGCTAAACACTGGTGCTAGTTTTTTTCCCGTATGACGACTGTTCCAGTTTCTTAAAGCCATTATTTGTATCTACCGATCTTTTGAAACCAAGGTCTAATCTATCACGAGATAAATAAAAAAATTCCGTTGCGAGATTAGCTAATTAGAGTCGTGAATGATTGTAAGTGGGCTGAACTTAGAATTGTCTCATATCGGCTTTTGCATGAATGGGCCTAGCCCGATTAAGCGAACACTAATCTGATCTTGGAACCACATCCATTTTAAACACTTGAGAATTGATACAGTTTTAAGAAAATGATAGGAAAATGCGAAGATATTTGATGCAGTGTACTAGGAATGCCCAACATTTTTTTTACAGTGATTTGTCATAAATTTTTACAGCAACCAACTCTTTCTCTAGAGAGAGAGGATGACTGTATGTGTGGGAGCATTTATACAAATTTACCTCTACGTGTGCAGCTATAACCTAGGGCTAGAGGCATGCATTTGTAGGATTTCAAGATGCCTTGCCCACAAGTTAATCTTGGCCGTCCAATTTGCATGCAAATCGTAGGGCCATCTGAAACGTGACACATTCAAATAATAAAGCCAAACTCCAAAATCACATCTCACAATCACATCCCCAACTACTGCTGCCAAATGAAATCCACCCCAGCCCTTGATTTCCTACCACATGATTAATAATAATAATAATAATATCTCTTTTCACTTTCTATTGGCTCAAACCAAAAGATTTTGCTCATGTACCATACAGATACAGTAGTAGTTATATTATCTCATCATATTTAACTTTTTATATCTCACAATAAGCAAAACTAGTGCTCATTCTTTGGGTCTTCATAAATGCCAATACCCAAGTTTCGCAATCTCTACTTACC